ATTATAGTAAAAATCAAAAATCAAAAGAGGACAACAACAAAAAAATTTAATTTTAATTAAAATGATCTTTTTGGTTACTGTATATATATATAATGCATCTATATTGTAGTTGTGTATATAATAAAATGCCAAATATATTCCTAAGGTTTATATTAAACACTTATTGGCAAAAAACACTTAAAGGAAATTTTAATTCAATTGAAATTTTTAATTTAAAGTGGGTAACCTGATATTATATTTTATTTTCAAGAACTATTTTCATTATAAAAGATATACATACATGTTATATACGTAATATAGATGCCATTTCATTTCAGAATGTGTTATTTAACATGATTGTATGTGAAAGTGAAATTTAGCAAATAGCTATAATTATTCTCTATATGTAATAATTATTGTTTTCTGGTTTAAATTTCTTGGTTTTTCGTACATAAGTGGAGTTAATTATAAATTCTCAATTTAATTTAGAAAATAATTGAGAATATAAAATTTATTTGGAATCTAATACAATTTGTATAATTTAGAAATTTATCTAAGATCAAATGACGCGGGTTATTTGAAACAGAATTTCATAATATTTAATTTATTCAATTGCTTTTAAAAAAAATAATTAAGAGTTGTTCTAGAGTTTCCGAAGTTTATATGTCATCTTTTAATATAATATTTTTATTCAACATATTTCATATATAATAAGAATTTTATTTTCGAAATTAAATTTTTTGTCGAAGTTGTATGGCAGCTACCACCACAAGTCAAGAAATTTCAACTAATATCAAATGCAAGAGCTGTAATGAAATATTTGCTGTAGGTTCTACAATTTCTGATATCTAGCCATATAATTTTTGAAGTTCTATGGCAGCGGTCATGATATCTTAACAGTTTTTATCAAAAATAATGGTCATTATGTTACCATACCTGTTTTAAAAAAATTTCAATACCATACCTTCAAAAATTTCTAAGTTATAATCAAGTAACTTTTGAAGATGTATGACAAATGTAACAAGGACTCAAAAAATTTTAACGATTTTCATCTCACCGAACAGCCTCAAAAATTTTACGAAATTTCCATATTATAGATTCAATACTTTCTGAGATATAGCAAAATAACTTTTGAAGTTGGAGGGCAGCTACCCGAACGACTGCGGCTATCATATCCAGTTTAAAGAAGATTCCGGAATTTAGTATTATAAACAATTTTTGAAAATTTAGTGAGTTTAGTTCAATTAGTTTTCGAGTTATCACTGGGACGGATGGACGGACAGATATAACATACTTTTGTTAGGGTATCAATGTAAGGCCCATATTTAGCATTACAACTGCTACATGTGAATTATAGAAATATAAATCTAGAATATTGAACCCCAATTTTATTAAAACATTTAACAAAACTCTGAATAAAATATTTAACAAAACTCATTTAATAAAACAAGCAAAACTCCGAAATAAAAATTTATTTCCAATAGCATATTTTCGAAGAAAAATATTCGGAATCAAGTACCCATAATTTTTAAGGCTTCTGACACTAAAATAAAGTTTAATGAATTGCAAAAACTTTAGTTATTCATTTAAAAATTTTAATTACTTTTTCTCTGATTTGAACTTTGCAAAATAGTTCTACTTATAAAAGTACTATAACGTTTCGTACTCATATAGTAAATGAAAGTACTAAATAAAATATTTTTAATATTGAAATTCGAAATGTCATCAATAAAATAATCTTAAAATTGTTAAGAACAACAATGTTTTTGCTTCCACAGGACATGCAAAATATAAACTGTTATATTGATTTTTTTATTTTATTCCATTTTGTTTTTTGAAATGAGGTCAAATAAATTTTTGTATTAAAATGGAATAAAATAAATTTCTTCTTTTATTTTACACTGATTTTATTTTTATATTTTTATTTATTTATGTGTGTTATTTAATTTCACAATTTTTAATATTAAAAACAATTTTTTTTAATAATACGTACACATAAATAAAATATATGATTGTATAATGCAAAAACATATTGTATTTTGTTCAATATTTCAATTTAAGTTCATCCAAAATAATCAATAATTTTAAAATAAATTGCTTATTGCTCGAAATCTATTAACCAAAATGTAGAAAATCAAAGCAGAAAAAAAAAAATTTTCAATGAAAAAAAAATTAGTAGCAAATATTTTGGATTTAAAATAAATTTCTGAATTTTTGAATATTTTCGAAATTTTCCAAAATTTCGAAATTTGCTTGAAGCAATAATTCTTAGAATTAAAAGAAAACTATTGCCCTTGTACGAATGGTTTCATATTTAAGGTGAATTTGAAAATTTCGCTCGACTAATGTTGTTAATAAAATGTTGTTAATATTAAATTTCTTGTTAATCCTTATATTTGCACTGAAATGGTTTTTTTTTAACTGAAAATTCTGAATATTTAATTTAATAAATTCCAATTCTTAGAGTTTCTAAAAAGTCAAATATGCACCAAGTCAAAATTAATTATACATTAAATACAAATATCGAACTATAAATGAAACCTCTTCAATTTGCAACGGAAATTTCCCAGAGTGGAAAGAATAAGTAACCATATTTTTTTGCTTTCAAAACGAGTTACATGGGATCTCTAGATCATATGCATTTTAAGTTGTTTTTTTTTTTTTTTGTAAATGAATTCAAAGTTTTTTCAATATTATAATGGCCGTGAAGGTCGTAAAAATTTTAAAACGTAATAATACTAAAATTTTTAATTATTTAGAGTTTCCCATAAATGTTTTATAATTTTATATTTAAGACCAAAATTAATTTACGACAAAAATCCGATTACACAAATATTTAAAAATATGAGATGTTCGTTCGTGTTGCTTGTGCACTCGCTTACAAATATGTATGTGTATACGTATTACGTGTGATATTTACTTTTTATATAATACTATATTATTTTATTTGTATACAAATAGTATTATGTGTATAATATGTTAACCAGAAAATGAAAGTATAAATAAAAATATTATCCGCATTCGATGAATTCAGGGAAGTATTCAAGGATACTATATGTTATTATAAGTTTATAATCCATGTGTTATACGTGGATTCATATACGTCATACGAGAACATTATCAATTATTACCAATTACTTGGAATACTATCAAAGGCAGTATTCAAAGTAATTTTGCACAACAATTTCTGAATTTTACACTCATAATGTAAACTCTTTACTAGAGGAAGTAAATTTTTTAGATATTGATAGTCGTCCAGTTATCCATTTTTGGTCTTTTATATGATTATGAGCAAAATTCAATTAAAAAGTGAAATTCTAGATAATCTTAATTTTTATTTCTTCAACGCTTTGCGGAACTGTTTCATAAAATCAAATATGTAGTAAAGTAAAAGATTTTATGTGGTTTTCACTTTTTTAGTTTAACAATAATACAACATAATTTCGGTACCTTGCATTCTCTATGAAAAGGTTCTTGATAAATAATATCGTCATTTTGTTCAGCTTCCCGGAAACTCTTATCCTTCTAATATAGGTATTGTTTTCTTTCTAATTATTCAATATCATTTCATACTAAATGCAATATTGCATTTGTCGGAAAATATAATATATACAATAAAAATTTTCTTATACAATAGGAAAACTATGCCGCTCTTACTCACACTTCAATACCAAATTAAGTCAAGAATGATAATTTTTCTGACCCTACTTATTTTAAACAGACCCTGTTCATATGTGTTTATTTATTTTTGGCGAATGAAAAACATAAGAAATCTGAAAATATGAAAATGAATATGAAAAAAAAAAAAACAAATAGAAATAAAAAATCGCTTACATAACCATAAATAATAAAAATCTCTTAATTTGCATTTAAACCAAAACCCAGAACGAAATTTCAGTATAAAAGTTTTATACATGTGTATATGAGGTTTGTATTTAATGGGATATTTCTTTTTTTTTTCAATGAATGAATGTATTTTATTGTTATTTAAGATAACGGTAAATAATTCAAACTATATAATAAAAACGTGAAACAAAAAAAAAATCCTTATTGAATAATTTGATGATTTCCCTATACTTGCTCTGTGGGTATATTATTTTTGCAAGGTAGTGAAAATATCTATTTTACTGATATAAAAGTGCCAGAATAGAAAAATTCAATTTTATGAATTAAAATAATTTATGACATATTGAGCTCATAAAAACACTATTAACAGTTTTTGGAATAAATTTTTAAAAATCGATTAATAAAACTATTCATTTTTTCCGTATTTTAGAATAAACACTATAGCGGAATTTTCTTGAAAAAATTCTCAACTGTGTTAAACATACAAAGTTAATGCTGAAAATTAGAGTATTCAATCTGAGTTACATATTACTAGAAAGAGAGCTTTATTGCGTTAAAATTAGTTTGTCCTTTCTAAAACAATATCGTATTTTAGACAGAAGTGAGAGATAGATAGATAAATTACGTGACAGCCAACAATTCAAAGGACAGGTACGTGAACACATTCCTCTGTGGGTACATGTTTAAAGAATAACTATTCCTCAGAACGTATTCGCCGAGCTTAATTTGTGTATACGTATTTTGGGAACAGTACAATTCCAAAATATGTATATGTTAATTAAGCTCGCAGTGCCTAATAATGAGCATGGTAGACTGGGATATGAAAACGTATAGACAGTCTTATTCCACAATAATGCAAATGTAAAAAAAAAAGTTTTTCATTTTTAATCCAATAAGCAGTTAAATAAAAAAATAATGTCACTTGTATTTTAGCCGTTTGAAATCCTTCTTACAGTTTCGGGTAATATTTTTACTATACAATGGAATCTTGTGTGTTTGTACATTAATGGAATCTTGAATTGTACTATTATTTCAAAAATAATTTGTAATTATGTAGGGCTTAAGATATCTGCCCCTGTGAGTTATAAAGTTAACTTTTTCCCTGAAATTTGGAATCCTAATACTTTTTTCAATCTTGAATAAAAAAATGAAAAAAAAAAACATAAAATGCTTACCAATATTACGGAACTCCCCATATTTTCATAAACTAAAAGCCAAGATGGGCAAAATAAAATCCAAATTTTAAAAACAAAATTTTCACAAGCCTTTTACTTCACACTACCAATATTTTTTTTTTATAATTATTATCAATTTATTTTAAGCAACTATTAGAGCACTTTTCCTTAACACATCACAAATCTAAATAAATTGCTTAATTTTAAGTTTCTTTGCATCACAATTTTCTTTTTTTCTTTTGTATTCCTTTTTATTTTCTCTCTTTAATATTTTTTCTTTTGTTCAAAATTCATCCAAAAACCATTTAAAAAATTCTCTCTTACAGATTATTAATATTCATCCATAAATAGTAAATATTCACTTGTTAAGGTCCACTGCACTTTATATGTACAAAGCAGAGTTGCAGTATACTTTCAATTGCATAATTTTTATATTTCTTTTTTATTTTATATTATTGTTATTATTATTTTTTTTCTTTGTTTTTTTTTGCTGGTTGCCTTCACCTTAACCTAAGTTGGTAAAAAATAATAAAAAAAAGCAATATAATCACTTGAATAACTTGAATTTTTTAATCTCTTTTGAACTTTAAACAAAAATAATAAAAAAAGGTTTAACACTCGTTCTGTTTCTTGTTTTACACAATTAATTTTAAGTACACTATACACAGTTATAAATAATTTACAATTTATTGTGCTTTAATTATTATACACTAGTTATATGAGTAGTGCAAAATATTATGCATTAAGAGAATTTTATGGAATTTTTCGGGCGGCGAATCAGGTGCAATTTTATTAAAATAAATTTTTTTTTTTTTTGAAATTTTAAAATAGAAGGTTTGAATCTCGAATTCAAATAATAAAATTTTTTTAAAAAAAATATTTTTTATTAATTTAAAATACAAAAAAAAAATGTTAAATTGAAAATTCGATTTTTTGCCTTTATAATTTTAACAATTTTTATTTTTTCTAATGATCTGATCACAATAACGTCTTTATGTGAACTGAAGATTAATATTATAATGTAAGTATATTTTGTTAAAGCCGCCACCGCCACATATCTCTACTATAACATGTGCAAATAATAATAATATTACAATATCTTTTAAATAAGAAAATAAACTATTATATTTAAGAGAAATGATAATATAAGAAAAATTTTTTGCTAATATAAAACAAAAAAAACAAAAAATTAACGAACCAGTCTACCAAGCATACCTTTTATTACAATCGTCTTCGCCTTAAAATACTACATCAGGAGATTTTGTGTATATGATGTTGAAGTTGTTGAAAACAGTCGCATCTTTAAATATTAACACTGTTAGGCTATAGGTGCAACAAAATAAAAAAAAAATTTCTTTTGTTTTTCCTATGATGTCATATTTAAAAGTTGACGCTTAATTATGATGCAAAACGTTTTGTTTGGTCTTTTTTTTTGTTTTCGTTGTCTGAAAAAATGCATTTACCACCATTTTTCTTATTATGTGAAATAATTTCTTGTTATTGTTGCTTGTTTTTTTTTGGTTTGGTGTTTTTTAATACAATACTAGTTGTATAGATTTTTACAATTTTTTAATAACTGGAAATAATGATATGGCGATAATATTTTGTACATGTATAAATTAAAATGTTCATTTATGTACGCGTCTGTGTATTCACATGTACATATCCGACTTTTTCACTTTTGAAAATTTGATGATGGTTTTAATATTAGCGTATTAGCATTTAATATATTAAATAGAGAGTTTTTTTTTTTTTTGTCCAGATATTATTCGAAAAGTATATACGATTTTTAATCTACTGCAAATAAATTAACAATAATAATATACACATTATATAGGTATGTATGTATTTTTATGATATAATAATTGACTGTATATTGTTTTATTCAAAAAATATATTCATAATCATACAGAGTGTTCAGAATGCTGGAATCAATAAAGAATTCGGAATTGATAATGTTTTTTCTTCTATAATACAAAATAGTAAATCTAAGCAAGTAATAAAGAATACTATCTGTAAGGGTGAGGATGAATTGCAAATCATTTTCTTGACCGACATACTCCTAATAATATAAATTGTAATATATATGAAACATAATACCCAGAACGTTAATTATTACATAAAATTAAGAATTTTTCAAAATTGTAAATTTCCAGCAATAATTTTAAAATAATTTTTATTTAGTAAGAATTGGTATTAAGCATCAAGATTAATTTGAGTAAAGGGAACCTGAAGGCTGACTATAAAGGAAAAATAAAAGCTGACTGGAGCCTTAATATGTCTAAGGTTTCTTGAACATATACAAATTATAACTATTTTACGAAACTATCAGTCAGGTTTAATTGGAAATGAATGAATATTTAATATAGTTTTTGAAAGTTTTTTCTGCATTTGTAATGAAGTTTATTTTAGAATTTCCTAATTAATTCTAGAACAATAACAAAATCTTAAATACATAGGTATATTATTATTTTACCGTAAATTTCCCCTACTGTATAGGTATTATTGTTTTCCCCTACTGTATAGGTACATAATATAAAAAATTTTAATTTTTATTTTTGTATACTAACAAAATTTAATGAATTTTATTTGCTTTAGGATTCAGGGTGGAATAACTTGTATATACAAAACATTTAAAAAAAAAATATATATTTTAAGTGAATTTTTAATTGTCGACCAAATCGGAATTTTAAACTAGGTAGTTATTATATCCCAATTAGCATTTTTTTTTTAAATTTTAATATTTTTCAATTTCAACATGGTATCTATGTAATATTTTCGATTGCATTTTGGTATACAATAATGGATCTTTAATATTATTTTAAATTTTAGGGGAAATTTTCTATTTGGTAATGCTGAAATGCATCTAAGAAGTACAAATAAAATTAGAAATTTATAGGTGACCTACCCTTAAAATTTTTAATTCTAGTATAAGAAATTTGAGTATGTTACATGTCAAATTTGGGTGTAAGTTCTATAGTCACTATATATTTTAAAAATTTTTTATTGAATTTTGAATTTCGAAATAAATAAATATTCCTCTTTTGCCTTTAAATAGCGCAAGTTGTTATGAAAACTGTGGATATTTTGATTTTTTGAATATTTTCGGCTTACTGATGGCTATATAAATTCTTAATTACGAAATAATTTAAAGATACAATTTCGACTAGAATTCATACTGACATCGAAATCGCAAATGGATTTTAAAAATTCAAAATAAAATTTAAATGATGCGCATCTGGATACCTGGGAATTTTACAATTCAAATTTTAGTAAAAATTTACCCTGCATTGTTATTTATGCCGTTAATATACTGTATAGTGTATTATATAAGCCTGTCTGTATAGTGGCCAGGAAAATTTTGTCAATAAAAAAAAAAATGAGACAGTAAAACAAAAAAAAAAAATTCATTTTGTATTTTATAATGTTTGTAATAAATCTTATTGTTGAAAATAATTTACTTTTGTAGATTCCATCTATTATTTTGTGAGTTGTTGCTGTTGTTGTTTTTGTTATTTTTGAACAACTCTTATTGTTAAATATATTTATTTATTCGAATAGTTTTGATGCTGCGGCTGCTTGTATATTTTTTTTTTCCTCTTCTTTACAATTTGAATAATGAATTTATTTATAATAGGATACGGGAATTATTATAATGTTTTGTATACTAGAACAATGTAAATGTATATGTGCACATTTATACATACATATGTATGTATACATATTTGGGAGTAATACCGCGTATTATGGTAAAAAAAAAAATTTTTTTTTTTTTTTTTCTGTAATAATGTGGAAGTTTGAATACAGGAAGAAAATAATTATTAACTATTCTGTATTAAATTTATTAAATAAAAAAGTTAGTTATAATAATTATAGTAGTATTATATAGTTAATAATGTAAGGGGTTATTTTGTTCCGGTGTAATAATAATCAGTATGTTAGTTGAATAGATAGTATTTTTAAATAGTTGTAATATTGGTGTTTTATTTTTCATATGATTTTACTAACTATAAATAATTGTTAAAAATATTGTAATTTTTATATTAAACATAATGTCATTTATTATTTAAAGTATGGATAAATATAATATGAAATGTATATTAAAATATGTGAGAAGCATGGGTAGAAATATTTAGTTTATAATAATTAAAGGTCAACTTACACCCTAATGGGATTGTGTTAAATGGTGAATGACATTTTTATAATATGTAGAGTACATTTAAAGTCTAAAAATATAAATTTCTATGGAAAATTTTGAATAAATTAAATTTTGTTATTAAAATTTGTTTTGCATTGACAATCAAGCTCTATTGTGAATTTCGTTCGTAGCTCTGAAATTTGGAAAATTACAAATATTATATTATCAATTACGAATTACTAAAATTCTGCTCTGAATACTCATAAATTGGAGTTCCAATTTTACTAGTGGAATTCATTATAGGACTGAATATTGATTATTAAATAGTTTTATTAAGTTTGGTAAGACAAATATTAGATTTTCTAGCCTAGAGATTGACAATATTGTTTCTAAATAAAACTAAAAATCAACAAATGTTAATCAATATCCAAATTCAATCACATTTAAAATCAAAACAACAATCTATCGAAACGACAAACTTGTCAAATAAATAAGAGCTATCAACTAAAAAATCTGCTCTAAAATTTAAAACGGGTAAGTAAAAATTTCATAAATTTAATTTCCAATAATGAAATCGAACTAATTTAGATTGTGCTGACTTTTTCAAAAAAAAAAAAGATTTATTGTAATTTTTCACTAAATTGGCTGATCATTTTGTAACTTATTTTATTGTATGAATGAAAATTTTTTTCCTATATGCTTTAAATTTAAGGCCCATATAAGGTTTAACTAAAGGAAATGGGGGAAAAAAGTAAAATTTATAAATATTGTGTGGGTTTTTCATGTCAATTTTTTAGATTCGACTTTATACAATTTTTCTAATTTTTTTTCGTTTTTATGTATTGGCATTTTTAACCACGGATTTTTAATTTTATTGACGGTGTTCTTCTCCTTTTTTTCTTGGGTAGTCAAAAAGGAAAGGATCAAAAATTTTGTATTGAGCACCTTTTTTTACATATCGTATCTTTGAATATCATTTTAACGGACAGATTGATTATTTGAACAATATAAAAGATTAAAATTGCTATAAATTTTATTTTGAAATTTTTTTGTTCTGTATTGAAATATGTTAGATCTAAGTATATATGTGTAGAGGGAATTATTCTTAAACAGGGTGTATGCAGAGTTTTTTTGGTTATGGTAAATTTTTTATTCAGTTTCTTGTGAT